TTCAAAAAACAACCATGGAACAATGAAATTAAAATGGAACGGAATGGTTCGGAGATGGACAACCAGCAAATCAACAAACAGAATGCTCACATGGAAATCCGTGTTTTCAGTAGAAGAAAAGGAAGGAAGTTGGCGGCGAGGGTCCTTTCCTTGATGTGTGAGCCGTATGGAAATCGGGGACCGGTTCCAGCAAGGATCAAGGCAGAGCCCCGGGGTGGAAGAATGCTTGGAAGTTTAACAATAACTCATCCATATTGAGCATGTGTTTTGTGGTGGCTCTCCCCGTTTCGCATGCATTCATTAAATGAGTCATACCAATGATGGTGGCAGGGTCTCCTGATAGGATCTCTCCCAGAAACTTCCCGAGGATGTGTCAACAACTCCTGCTATGGGATTTAAGCTCCTCCAGGAATACAGGGTTACGGGTTCAGGGAATCATCCAGGTGGCATGGTGGTGGGAAACTTGCTTGCGATGGTTAGATTTTATGTCAACTTGCACCCTACACTTGCAAAGTGCAGGGATGGAGTCCAACCTATCAAGCAGGTCACAGCCTGATGACGCCTCCTTAGGGGTGTGGCCTTTTTATGAGAGAGACACTGGGACTTCTCTCTCTATTCTTCTCCTTGCCTTCCTGCTTGCTGTAGGGAGCTAGGGGCATTCTGCCATGATCCCGCTGATCTGGATCCATGGGACTTTGAACTTGCAGGCCTGTAATCTCCCTGCTTCCTTCTTCACCTTTCTCCATTATCTGTCTGTAGCTATGTGAGTCTAAAAGCGCCCCCCACTCCCCCCATAGCATCGGATCCATGGACTTGAGTTGGACTGGGCTGGGATGCCTTCTTGATATAAAAGTGTTTCTTGACATCAAGTTCTTTTCTTGCATTGATGAGTTCCCATGGTTTTGTTTCTCTAGAAAATCCAGCCTAACACACAATTTTGAGGCAAGGATGGTCAGACATCCTCTCAATTATTTTGGACACGTAATCAGGAGAAACTCGTCCATGGAGAAGGACATCTTGCTTGGTAAAGGAGAGGGGCAGGGACAAAGAGGAAGGCCCTTGCCAACATGGCTTGACACCGTGGCCACCACAATGGGCTCAAACGTAGGACTCGTGAGGACGGCGCAGGACTGGGGGGTGTTTCCTTCTGTTGCGCATCTGGTCCCTGTGAGTTAGAACTGACTCATGGCATCCAGCAACAACCAACAACACAGAGCTGTTTATTAGGGATGAGGACAGCGGTTCTCAACCTGTGGGTGGCGACCCCTTTGGGGGTCAAAGGACCCTTTCACAGGGGTGGCCTGATTCGTCACAGTAGCAAAATGACAGTGATGAAGTAGCAACAAAAATAATTTTATGGTTGGGGGGTCACCACCACATGAGGAACTGTCTTCAAGGGTCACGGCATTCGGAAGGTTGAGAACCACTGGACTAGGGAGAAGTAACCTGAGCCGGTGTTGGAGAGCTAACTGTGTCCATACTAAACGTGGGCTGTAAATCCTAAGGGTTAGGAACCCTCCTGTCTTTGAGTGTTAGGCATTAAGCTGTTCACTGCAAGGTCAGTAGTTCCAACCCCACCATCTCTGCAGGGGAGAAAGAGGAGGCCCTCTGCTCCGGAAAGGTCTGCAGTCCCAGAAACCCTAGGGTAACTGCATCCACTTGAAGGCAGTGAGGTTTTGTTTGCTTCCCTGTGGCTAGAATCCCATTTGGGAATGGGGTTTCTTTGTTATGGCCATGAGGCAGCAGGCATGCGGGGTGCGTCTCTCAAATGAATGGATGTTTCTCTATCTTGCTGCTTGACCTAGGACGCTGCCCTTCTGCAGGGACAGGTCTCCCCATCGCATGACCAAAGTTTGTGAGCCTAAGATTGACAGCATGGAGACCCTATAAGACACCCCTCTGTCCTACAGCATCGCAATGTGCTGGGATGGACTTGATGGCAGTGGGTTGTTGGGGGCGACGGAGGAGTGGACCTGCCCTGTCGAATTTCTTATGCTCTGATCTTATTGGAACACGCGTTCTTTTGCTGCTGAGGTTAGGGCCATCAACCTTTTGGGCAGCAGCTGTGCCACCTCGGCTCCTTTGTACTGGGGATTAGATATTAATTCAAGCCGGATTAAGTAGCAGCAAGAGCAGAATGGGTCTCCCTAGAAGACCATCCCCAAAATCCACAAGAGCTGTGGGTGAGCTAGGAGGGTTTGTTAGAGAGACGTGGTCTCCTGGGAGCAAGCTGTATATAAGGAACTCAGAAAGGTCAGCAAGTAATTTGAAATATGGGCGCCTTCTATTATCTGCAGTCCTTGCTGGCTGTCAGGGCTCTGACCCCTGCGGTCAGGCTTGACTTTAAATTCAGTCTCCAGGATGTCTCCGAAACTGCGCCTAAAAACAATGGGCAGCAGGTGGCGCTCTGCCCATTTGGGAAAAACTAAAAGTAGCTCAAAAGAATGAGCAACTTTCTTTGTTTATGGATGTCTGCTGGGTTTTTGATCTCTGCCTAAGCCTGGGTTTGTAGCTAATAAAGTAAAAATAGCTCACACACTTTTCCTCCTTTATCTCTCTTATGGCCCTCACCAAGCCCGTGATATTTATTCCTTCTGAGCTTGCTATGCAAACAGTACACAAGGGGTGGGGTGAGCATCTGTGGGATTGTAGGCAGAGCTGCCAAGGGGGGGCGGGGGACAGCATGGAAGCTCTGTCCCTGGGGGAGGGAAAGCAGTCTGGAGAGTGAGCGAGGCAAGAATCAGCCTCTGCTTGTATCTCAGCTTCTCAATATGGTTGGACTGAGACAAGATCTGCTCCAGAAAGTTGGGCTGCCAACATCAAGGTCCCCAGTTCAAAACCACCAACCTTTCTGTAGGAGAGAGATGAGGCTCTCGACTCTCATAAAACATTACAGTCTTGGAAACTCACAGAGACAATTCTACCCTGTCCTAGAGGGTTGCTATGAAGCAGAGTCAACTGGATATTTTTGTTTGTTTGCTTGGTTTGGTTGTTTTTCAGACTATGAATCCATTAAAGAAAGCATGGTTTGTCAGTTCTGCTAGAGCAGCTCCGTCAGAAGCTGCATCAGATACCCAGATGGTGACCAGGACCCGAGCAATGAAGGGCCTGAGGAAACAGTTGAGGGAGAGCCCACCAATGGGCAGGGTTTGTGGGGGCACCCTCATAAAAGGGAAAAAGGCTCCACTGGGAGCAGCTCTCATAGTATGTATCTCCTTTTAACCCCCTCCCCACTCCCCTGCTATCCAGCAAGGCTCTCTGAGTTAGTGTACCCAGTGGTGAAATGTCCATTGAGGACAAACCTTGTTCTGGACTTCTGTCAACTTTCTGAACAGACCAAAATGTCGACTTAGAGTGCATTTGGAGTTTGTTCTACCAGGACAGACTATTAATCAAGCTTTCTTTTTAAAGGTTCTAAAAGATTGTGTAACAGTGTGTGACCCAAACGGCCTGATGTGTGGCAGACGGGACTGGTTATGCCACCATGACAATGCACCTGCTCACACAGCCATATCAGGGCACCAGATTTTGATAAAAACAGCATGCCTCTCTTGCCCCATGTACCTTACTCACCTGACCTTGCTCTGTGCAACTCCTTTTGTTTCCTTGAATGAAGAGGGACATGAAAGGACATCGATTTGATGACAGGAAGAGGTGAAGATAAAAACAAGGGACGTGCTGTCAGCCATTCAAATAGATGAGGTTGAGAAACGTGTCCAAGAATGGAAATGCAGATTTGACACATGCATGAAGTGTCATGGAGAGTACTTTGAAGGTGATAAGGTTGATTTATCATAAAAATTTAAATACATGACTTTGGAAAAATTCCGTTTCCCCCGCCAGGTACTGCCTGGTAGGTATTCTTTGACTTCCATATTCAGGGCTTGCATGTGGAGTTCCTCCCAATTGCCAACATTCAGTTCAAGAGAGGACTTTCCCAGTGCTTTGTCAGGGCTCGCAGCAAGAAACAGGGGCAAGGGCCCATCGTCCTTAATTCTTTTTAATCACGTCCATGAGACGGACTGTCACAGTGGCTCAACAATGGGCTCAAACACAACAGCCTTGTGACCACAGGGCAGAGTGGGGGGGGGAGGGGGTGGTTCATTCTGTTGTCCAGGAGATCACTATGAACCAGCTCTAAGGTCTCTAACAGCAATTCAAGTTGCCACAGGATCCCTGTGCCCTCATGGTGTAGTGGGTTATGTGTTTGACTGCTACCCTCAAGGTCAGCAGTTTGAAACCACCAGTCCCTCCTTGGGAGAAAGAGGAAATTTTCAACTCCTGTAGTGAGTTGCAGTCTCAGAAAACCCCGGGGGCAGTTGTGCTCTCTAGGGTAACTCTTAAGTCAGCATCAACTTGATGGCAGTGAGGTGTTTGTGTGTGTGTGTGTGTGTGTGTGTGTGTTTGATGGTGCAAAAGGTCAATGTACTCAGCTGCTAACTGCAAGGTTAGACCCCCTGCGAGCAAGACCAGGTAAGGTGTTCGTGAACATTCACCCACTGAAAACCTTTAGAAGCACTGCTCTAATCTGACCCCCTTGGTGTCCCTGAGATCCCACTTCAGGCAATTCGTACACAGACACCCAGGCCTGGCTTCCCTCTTGAAGGGCAGTTCACAAGCTGGCCAGATAGTTGCCCCCTCCTCCAGCCCACCCCAGTCTCTCATTAGACAGCTATCTGTAAGGTCGGAGGTTCAAACCCACCATCAGCTCTGCAGGAGAAAGAGGAGGCTGGCCGCCCCTGTAAAGACTTACAGCCCAGAAACCCACTCGAGCGTCGACTCAATGGGAGTGGGCAGGTGGAGCTCTCTTCATGAGGAGAACGAGGAGTGTTCTCTGTGAGCCTGCTCTGGCAGTCACTGGTCATAGGGCACCGGGGAAGCAGCCGGGGAGTGTGAAGTTGGAAAAGGAGCCCGGCAGGCAGCAGGAAGGTGGCTGCAGAGGGGAAAGTGCAGGTGCTGCTTCTCTGGGTGAAAAGGCAGGTTTCCCTCTGTTCGTGCAGGTCGGCGACCTGCAGGCAGAGGAGGAGCAGACCCAGTCACCCAGCCCCTGAGCCCCCTTGGTGATGGGTTTCGGGTTCCAAGCCTGGCTTTGCAATCACGTGGACTGGGGTGCCCGCTCCACCCTGCCTCAGCTAGCCCAGGCTCCATGTTCTCCTGCCCACCCTGGGAACATGGAGCCTGGGAACAGGACAGGAAAATGGCAGGAGTCCAGAGAACAAGATAGTGTCTGTAGAGAAGGCCGTGCTCAGCAAGGGCCTGCTGAGCATCGGTGCTGCTTCTGGTGGCAAGAACAGGTGCTGAGAGGATTCTCTTCTGGTTCCTACTCTGCCCCCTGGCTGCAAGCAAGCAAGCCCGCGGAGGCTCTGGTCGCCTGTAGGTCCACGCACCCTACCCTAGGCACTGAGTGGCTCCCTGACCTGCTTGAGGAGAAGCTGGCCTCTCGAACCTTCTCCACAGGCTAACCTCAAAGGCCCCAATGGACCAGCGGGGGCCAGCGGTGCAAGCCGCTCTTCCAAACAATGGTGTTTGCATGACTTGGATTTCAGGGCCCGGTTCCCTCCCCGTGTGGAGGGCTGGGCATGCTCGTGCCCTCTTGTCAGGGGCTGGGCAAGGTGCCATTTCTAACCCCCACCCAGCTCTCAGCTTTGTGATGGGCAGCAGCTAGCACCCATGGGATCAGACCCACCCTCAGTCATTCCACTAGTAATGAGACTCTCTTCCATAACCAAAGTCCTGGTAGCCGAGTGGGTTATGGGTTGTGCTGCTAACCTCAAGGTCAGCAGTTCGAAACCACCTACCTCTCCTCAGGCGACATCTACTCCCCTAAAGACGGACAGTCTCAGACACTCACCAGGGCAGTTCTGCTCTGTCCCACCGAGTCTCTGGGAGTCCGTGTCGACAGGATGGCGGGTAGTTAGGGAGTTTGTTTTTGTGGTTTTTTTACATACCCAGCCAAAGCTGTTGGTGGCTGATGCCGAGGTCTAAAATGAGTACCACAATATCTCCCGGGTCATGGGAAATCCATTAGAGTGGGATGGACAGGCAAGACATGACCGATCAATGTGTGCCAGGTGTGACACATTAGGTATGCAAAGGCGTGGCCAGGGAAACTCGTATGATAGCAGTAGCATTTTTCACAGAGCCCGGGGAGGGCATCAAGGAGATTTGGGGGGCAAATAGGGGACCACCAGTGCAAAGGCCCTGAGGTAGCAGTGGGTGGGGCATGTTGGACGAGCTGCAAAGAATGGATAGGAAAACGATGGTAATGTCACTAAGGGGGTCCCATGGGGTGCAGCCCACACTGGGTGACACATTTGGAGGGGGTGTCCACAAAATGATTGGCTACAGTTGTCCAGTGGGGTTCAGAGGAAAGGTGTTATCTTCTGTACAGATGTCCCTGGGGTTTGCTCTAACAACTAACATAATCCTTATAAGCTCAGTTTTCCAGGCTGAACCACTACGGTCCTTTACTTTCAGAATCTTCTAATGCGCCCGTCAGGCTGTCATTGCTACCTCATCACACATGCCACTTCGCGTCTCATGGTTTCCTCTGTTGTTTTCCTTGCTGCCTGGTGTTATTATCATTGATGATTGTATCTATTTAGGGGGTGCTTTTGCTACAATGCACATATTGAGGTACATCGTACTTGTGAACCGGTCTCAATATCTCTTTTGAGAATGAATTAGTAATAAAAGGACAAGAAAAGGGATAACAATAAGGCTCTCACTCAGGAACTTGTCATACTGTAGCGAATAATGTCATTCACATTGTGTGTTTCTGCCCCCCGGCATGCTCCCCGCTCCACGTGCACTCAAAACCTGTGTGTGCACATACAACGGTAGAGGGAAAAATGGTTACCAGGCCAAGACCATCCTTTTGAAATAGACATCCGTCTGCCACTAAGGTCTTGAGGGACAGAGAGCTCATTTCCTCCCCAACCCTGCAACGGCAGGGCGTTTCCCTTTGACCTAGTGCATGCATCGGGCTGCTAACCTCAAGGGCAGCAGTTCAAAACCCCCAGCAGAAAAATGGGACTTTCTGTTTCCATAGAGTTTCAGCCTCAGAAACTCACAGGGCAGGTCTACCCAGTCCCATAGGGGTGTCCTAGGAGTCGGAACTGATTTCATGGTAGCCAGTTTGGTTTGGGATCCCCTCCCTTACTTTGGACCTGATTCTAAGCAGTCATATGCAATACACATTTCATTTATACCCAGTGCGGGGCAGAGCAAGCCTGTTACTTAGTTAGGCCTGTTGCTTCTCTGAGGGGTCGTTTCATTTACTTGTTTACACAGTGACAGTCCCCAAGAGAGGGGACTGTCCAAATCCCAGCGGAAGGGTGCTTACGGCCAGCTATGACCCATCACGTTGAGTGGGCCTGAGTGTCGAATTACAGTTTTATTATCTTTGCAGGTGAGGGGCTCGGTGGTGAGTGGGTGGTTGGTGGGCAGCTAGCCTTCCCACTGCCTCTGTTTTGTTTTGAGGGTGAACTTCTTTGTCACAGAATCAGATTCACCGGTGTTGCTTCCTGGCCCCCATCAACGGAGAATGCCATTGCTTTTAAATTGCCAGGCTTTTGTTATCGCTACCACTGGGAACCAGACAGCCAGAATCAATGCGAGAGGGACACGCCAGCCCAGGAGCAAGATTGAGTCGGAGCTTTGGTC